CTGGCCACACACACACACACACACAAATAAATAAAAATTAAAAAAAAAAAGAATGTTAAAAAAAAAAAAAAAACACGGATCTGTATATGTTAATGCGGTATAACCTTGAGCAGTTTCTTGAACTTCATGTCCTGTTCAGTAGGACAGGAGTAAAGGTTGTTAATTCTGTTAAGTACTTGGTTCTCATCTCTCAAAGGAGAGGGTCATGTGAGGCACAAAGATGACTGCCAGTGGGTTGGAGTGTGCCCTTTCACCTGGTGAGCACATTTCCCTCTGTACTTCCCTGTCCTATCAAGATGCTTCTGAAGATGACGTTTTCAAATGGTGTGTACCACAGCCTGAGAAAACTTCCTCCCCATTTTGGAGGGGGCGTTGTCTCAATCTCTTCATAAAACATTTTATTGTCAACATTGAGCCAACTGCCACTGGGAATTTCACATAAGTAATTAATTATAATGTTTAAACACAAGCTGTCGTATCATTTCTGCTTCTTGGTTTTATATAAACAGTTTACAGACAAGGATCAACAGCTTTCTGGAAGTGAGGGAGAGGATGATGTGGAGGCTGCCATGAAGAAGGAAGTTGGTGACATTAAGACTTCTACAGAGAAGAGGCTAAGAAGATTCCAGTCTGTAGAGAGCGGAGCAAATAATGTCGTCTTCATCAGGACACTTGGGATTGGTGTGTGTGTGTGTGGCTAATGTCCTTTAAGATAACTGACTATAATATCCAGTTCTTCTGTCTCAGAGAACACTGCCTGTAGAATGGCTCCACGTTCTGTCCATCACTGGATTGTGGCCTTTCTCTACATTATTAGTAAGCAAAGTCACGTGCAGATGTGGAAAGGTGGTGGTGCACATAGCACTGGTGCACAAGTAGAATCTGGCCTTGTGCTTTCTTTGTACCTGTAGGCAGAATGAGTGTATGTTCTATCAGAGGAGCAACTGCTGCTCAGCTCCTGCCCGTAGTTGCCATTGGAAATGCAAAAACCAGATCTTTCAATTTTTCAAGAAGTTGGAAATAAGGAGCTCTCTTCACATTTTAAAAAGTAGTCATCTAATTTGTAAATGCTGCAGAAAGCAAACATCCCCAACCTGATCTGTGTGCAGGCAGAATGAAGCCTGAAAACTTGTTCTGTGCTAATTTTTTTTTCCTTTCAGAACCTGAGAAATTAGTATATCATATTCTCCAGGATGTGTATAAAACTAAGAAAAGGAAGACTCGAGTTATTTTACGAATGTTACCCATCTCAGGCACATGCAAAGCCTTCTTAGAAGATATGAAAAAATATGCAGAAACGTTTTTGGAACCCTGGTTTAAAGCACCAAACAAGGGGACATTTCAGATTGTATACAAATCTCGGAATAACAGCCACATGAATAGAGAAGAAGTTATCAAAGAATTGGCTGGTATGTATCGCTTAGTGATTACATAGAGGTGCAGCAGTGAACACTTGTGTTTAGGGACTTCTTGTTTAAGATTTAAAGTTTATACTTTGCAGTAAAGAAGTAGATTAAAATACCAAACCTAACTAGTTTTAACATGGTAGACAAAAGATTTTTCTGGTAAAGGTTTTTTGAGGTTTGGGGAAAAAGTACTGTTGTCTCTCAGTACCTGTGAGTGGTTAATTCTGCGATCTCGTAACTATACCAGCATCTGTGGGTGCTCGGGTTCCTTCCATGAAGTGGTATAGTGTGTGCATGTAATCTGTGCTCATCTTTCTTGTAGACTGGAAGTCGTCCTCAGGTCACACAAAATATAGTAAATACTTGTTACACCAAATAGGTCAGGAAATAATGACAAGAAAACAATCTGTATATTTAATACAGAAACATTTTTTCCCCAAATATTTTGATTCAAGGTTGGTTGGATCTGTGTGGGCTCTGGATTTGGAGGGCCAGCTGTATTCTTAAATATCTCAGAATTTTATTTGTATGTACTTATTGAAAGGATTCTGGAAAATTTGAAGTCCACAAAGAAGAGTAAAACTGTTGTTAAATCCCAAAAAGAAAGGAATGGAAAAATAAAAGGAATGAAAATTTTGTATAGCTCTCAAATCTGCTGGTATCCTCAGCCTAAATATTTCCTTATTTTTGTTACAGGAATTGTGGGCAGTCTGAATTCAGAAAATAAAGTAGATCTCACCAATCCACAATATACAGTGGTAGTTGAAATTATCAAAGCTGTCTGTTGCCTGAGTGTCATAAAAGATTACATGTTGTTCAGAAAATACAATCTTCAGGAGGTGGTGAAGACTGAGAAAGACCTGTCACAGCTTCACCCAAAGCTGAGAAATGGAAAAGAAGCAAAATTGGAAACTGATGACAAACTAAATCAAAATGACCTGAAAGAAGGGGAAAATAACCAGCAGGTGGTGCCACGGAACAGTGAGGAAGAGCTGGAAGAAACAAAACCAAGATCTGAGACTCAGTTGGAGAGTGAGGGAGAAGCTAAGCCGGAACTGCCCGGCCAGATCCAAGAAGGATCCAAGCCAAGTGACAGTGACCTCTCTTAGTCTTTTGGGGTTAGAGGTGGGTTTCTCAGCCCAGGTTTTGTAGGGTGGTACTGGGGTTCCTTACAAAATTGTGATGTAAATATCTTGACCGTTCTGTGCTGACAGTCCTGATCTCATAGTAGAGAGCAGTGGTCCCTCAGCTCTGTGACAGTTTCCAGAGAGCTCTTTCAGTCCTAATAGCAGTGCGTGGGCCTGTGTGCCCTCACCCAGGGGAGGGAGGTTGGAGGGTGATGCTGCCTCTCCTAAGGACATTCTTCAGCTTCCCCCTATGCTGTGGCAGCTGACTTCTGGGGCAGAATGAGGTCTGAGAAGTAGAAAAGTCAGGGGAATCGCATTCTGAGGAAGGAATAGAATTTTAGGTGCCACAGTGGAGCTGACCCCTGCCACTCTGTTATAAAACACTGCAAAATTGTGGATTATATAGGTTGGAAGTGAACTGTTTTGTGATGGTTTTATACTTTTTGTGTTTTTCTTGTTTAGTTACATCTGTTCATATATTTTATTAATGTTTGTTGTGAACAAATGTGATAGCCACTGCTGCAATTTTTGAAGTCACAGTAGGAGATACACCACCATACTAGGCATAGACCTATGGACATTTTTGGTAAGGGTGGTGATGAAGAACTGCAGTCTTCTGAGTTATTCCTGTGTACAGTACTAGTACAGCAAGAGGGATCAATTCTGTCTGCAATGAAAGCTGCTGTTCACAGGTCTTACCTGCACTTATAATCAAGTTGTCCTATATTCATTGTGTATTGTTCGTGGTTTTTAACTAAATCAGTTATTTGACAAGAATGTTGATTACTTTAAAATAGCTTTTTGAATAACAAACCAGAATAAAGCTTTTGTGTATTTGTTTTGTCTTTTTTTTTTTTTTTGTGGTACTGGGGATTGGGGACCTTGCACTTTCCAGCCAGGTGCTTAAGCCGCTGAGCTATCTCCCCAGCACCTAAAGCTTTAAAAAAAATCACATTATGCAAAAAGGTTTAGGAAGCAAATTATTTGGTAGCAGATCATATCCCAGCAAAGAAAAATGTACATAGTAACAACATTAAAATGCTGGCACAAATTGTCATTGTGGTCTTCTGAATATGGGCGGCTTGTCATGACATGCCAGTTACTGCTAAGATGTCTCTTGGGTAGATGGATGTTCAAGAAGAAGGCGGTGGTGAAGGAAAGCAAGAGACAGGAAAAGGAATATTGTGGGACCGTCCTGCTTCAAGGTTGTATATGGTGAGATTTTTGGACTTATGTGCAAACATGAGAAGCATAGAATTCTTTATCCTATTTTTTAAAATATAATCTAATTTTTAAATGTTTTTTAATCATATTCTGTAGGGACTTAAAGTTCAACATATCAATACTTGATGAAAAATACCTGTTCCTTATTATGCCTAAGATGTTTGAAATGCAGTGAGATAGTGAGGTTAAGATTGATAGCCCAAATCGTTTGATAATAACTAAGCTTTTCTTCTGGATGGTTAACAACCTAAGTTTGCAGACCAAAATTAGAGAAAAAGGAGGGATACAAGGAAAGCCAACATTTTGGCCCTAGCCTTCTAAGGTCAATTAAGACTCAGGACATATGAGAACTTGTACTGTAACGTCATGTACCTCGGTAGTGTCCCAAATTTTCTGATCAAGAAGATTAGGGGCCAAAGAGGAAAGTGATCGATGACATAGAGTGTGCCTAAGGAGAGTCACATGGGGAGAAGATACTCTCTCAGGCTTTCACAGAGAGCACATTGGCCAAGCAATGGTCGTGACTCATCCACATGGCTGACACTGACAAAGGTTCTACAATCTGAGGTACAGGATCTCAGGACAAATCCTGAGGGCATTTCACTGACCTTCTCAGACCAAAAAGCTACAACTCTTGTTGCATAGGTCCTGCTTTACCTTGGTCTTAACCACCCAGCAGAAAAGTATGAAGACGAAATTATAAGAAATAAAGCCATGCTGTTAAGTTGAGCTGTGGGGGACTCAGGTCAATAATTTCTGACATTGCCAGTTAAACAGAAGACCCAATGCTATTATGGGCTACTGGACTCTTTTAAAATATTTTGCTGAGTTTACACACCTATAATATTCAATAACGGAACTTAGAAAAAATGGGGTATACGGATGAATGTCCATTTTGTATCTGTGTATTCAAAGTGGTTGGGATAGATATATAGTTGCATTCTGTTAATGAATAGAATGATCTGTTCTAATGGTGTTTGTAAATAGGATCACAAGTCTGCATCTTGTACAGCAATTAACCACTAAGAAGAATATATGCAGTGTATTATTTGTTGAAAAATAAAATTAAAATAAAGTAAAATAAATTAAAAAAATAAAATAAAAAATAAAGGCAGACCAGGAGAAAAAAAAAATGCTGGCACAAGTACAAGAAATTGAAATCACTTTACTTGCAGTATAATAAGTTGATTTACTTACGATGTCATGCTAAAAAGTTTTATGTAGTTAGGAAACAGGAGCCTTTTTATCTTGGTTAATGAGTTAAGAGATTTAAAAATATTTGTCATTTAATAACTTTTAAGATTTTTAGGGGCTGGGGAGATAGCTCAGTAGAATAAGTGCCTGCCTGGCAAGCGCAGGGTCCTGAGTTCAATCCCCAGTACCGCAAAAAGAAAAAAAATCTTTGGGCTGGGGAATGGGCTCAGTGGAAGAAGCACTTCCCTGGCAAGCATGGGGGTCTGCATTCAATCCCCAGTTCCACCAAAAATATTTAAAAAAAAAAAAAAGGATTTTTAATCAATGGTGAAATTAAAAGTGTCTTCTTATGTGATGACTCTTACAAAAACAAGACCAATATGTATTTAATGTGTCTTCTTACCTGAAAACAAAATGTCTATCAGCTTTACTCCTAGCATACCATTAATGGTTGGCTGTATGACAGTATTGCCACATTTATTTATTTTGATTTATTTATTTACTGGATACAGGGTCTCGCTACGCAGCTCAGACTCAGTGATCCTACTGTCTCAGCCTCCCCAGTGCAGGGATTACAGGTGTGTGCCACCATGCATGATTTCACCAGCTGGCCTGGCTTGGGGCTGGTTTGGTGCCAGGGATCAAACTTGGGTCGTTGTGTTTGCCAGGCAGGTGCTTAGGCCATCATGCTATCTCACCGGCCCAGTTTTACCACATTTGAAAAGAGAAAAGTCCTGATTTTGACATAGGATATGGTTAGTTGGTTTTTTTTTTTTGGGTTTTTTTCATAGAGATACCAATATCAAAAACTTGGAGTTAAAGAAAGTTAAAAAAGAAAAAATGCTACAGCATTGGTTAACTTTATTAGGGGCTGAGGAGATGGCTCAGTAGGATAAGCACTTGCCTGGCAAATGCAAGGATCTGAGGTCAATCCCTGGTTCCGCCAAAAAAAACCCAACCAAACAAAAAAACTAGTAAAGACCACTTATGCCACATTGTTTAAAAAATATCCCTAAATGAAAATCTTGTCAAAGAACAGTAAACTTCCTGCTTCATACAGAAACACAGTGGCTTCTCAGAAGCAGCATCCTCAGGATATATTTCAATAGAAATATGAATTGTTGAAGTACTTACACGAAAACAAGTCTTGCCAAGTGCTTTGAAAATAAATAGCTACAGAAACTAGCCTGTTTAATAGCCATTTCTAACTTTTATAAATAAGTTGCTGCAAGATTCTAGAGAAGCTTTCTTTTCTGAAAATGGTAAGAATCTTAGAAGGAAATACTCTGAAAAAGTCTTTACATGTTGATGGTGGAACTCAAAATACTTAAGTAACTTCCACATCAGAATGAAGAATATAAAGGACCACTGTGAGTTCAAGGCCAGCTAGCTTGAACTACTAGCAATACCTTGTCTCAAAAAGTTAAAAGAGAAAATGAAGAATTCAAAAGTCAAGGCTTTTGGCTACCTGGAAAAAAGTATAAAGCCGAATTAAGTAGAATTTTCTATTCCTCTCAGAAGGAAAACTTCATCCTAGTCTGACAGTTCTGGATTTCTCTGCAATTTCAGCTTAGTGTTCACATTCATTATGACTGCTCCCTTGGGTTCCCTGATTGAGAAAGGTGGGATGTGATAAACTAGTTTGAGATTATTAGGCAGTAAAACTATAGTTTTTGAGGGCTGGGGAGATGGTTCAGTAGAGTAAGCGCTTGCCTGGTAAGTGGAAGGGCCTGAGTTCAATCCCTGGTTCCACAAAAAAAAAA